AGCTGAGAACTGGCGACTTTGTAGTACAACTTTAGTACGCGGAGTAGCTGGGGAGTTGGAAGATGAGAACTAGCGATTTGGTAGTACAACTGTAGTACGCGGAGTAGCTGGGGAGTGGGAAGATGAGAACTGGCGACTTGGTAGTACAACTTGAATACGCGGAGTATTTGGGGAGCTGGAAGATGAGCACTGGCGACTTTGTAGTACAACTGTAGTACGCGGAGTAGCTGGGGAGCTGGAAGATGAGAACTGGCGTCTTGGTAGTACAACTTAAGTACGCGGAATATCTGGCGAGTTGGAAGATGAGAACGGGCGACTTGGTAGTAGAATTTTAGTACGCGGAGCAATCTGTGGAGCTGGAAGATGAGAACTGGCGACTTTGTAGTACAATTTTAGTACGTTTCATTCCAGCTTGCTTTTTTCAATGAGATTTCTTCCAGCCGTACACGCTACTTCTCCCCTTACCAGCAACTCATATGCTCATGACGATGAGCTGGGCTATCACCGCTTGGCCGCCGGTGGGGGGTTTGGGAGGCCTACGCGCTACTTCGTTCATCTCCTCTGACAGGCCACTGCTTTGACACACTTGTTGCGTACCTGCCTCGGCACTTTTCTGTCCTCATTCCGGTTCGTTTTTTTTTCCGTGAATTTTTCCTGGCGCCGTGCACGCTGCTTCTCCCCTTATCAGCGGCTCAAATGCTCATAACGATGAGCTGAGCTGTCACCGCTTAGCCGCCGGGGGGGGGGTTTGGGAGGCCGCATCGCACACAGACTCATATACACACGGACATAGATACACGCACAGAAACCCACACACTACCTCAACTCACTCGACTTAACACTTCACACTGCACACTTAACAGATAACTCGCACTCTAATTTCCTACGTAATGAAAAATGCTTTCGGGCCACTTGTCGTCTAATTTATTATTTATATTTTATTAATATAGAATAAAAATACATTAATTAAAGAATATATTGATTTAAAAAAAAAATATTACAAATAATATATATTCAATATTATATATTTAATATTAAATTATATTTTATAATAAATATATTATTTTATAATAAATATAAATTAAATATAAATTAATTCAAAAATTTATATTCAATAATTATTATATATATAGGAATTAAATTCTATTATCGATTCATATAATTTATAAATAATATTATCATTAATTAGAATGGATATTTATCGCGATCATAAATTTATATTCGATTCATTATTATATTATAAAATCAATATGTTTAAGAACAATATATAATATAATATTATATATATATTTCATAAAAAATATATATTAATATATATATTTATTTATAAGAAAACATCTAAATAAAGGGATCGAACATAATTTATAATATTATAATATTTTCTTTATTAAATTGTATAACGAATTTCTAGCTAAACACATCTATTCTACAGCTAGATGCAATATTTATGCTAGATTCGCGCTAGCAAACATTACCAAATTCTAACGTAAATCCTTCCAAGATTAATTAAAAAAAATATTTTCGTTTTAAATATGATTAAAAATTATATATAAATATTATAAATAATAGAATTAAATATATAATAATTATATCTCAAATAATTATATATATTTTTTTAAAATATATATTTATATAAAAATATATTAATTATAATAGATAATTTAAATATTAATATTAAATTATTATTTATCGATAAATAAATAAATAAATTATTAATAATATATTTATATATTATTTATTCTATTATTACATAATTAATTTATTTTATTATTTTATTAAAAATATATTAATCATATATTAAAATTATATTAAATCCGTATTAATAATTAATATCAAACATTAATATAATCGAATACCAAATATTCAAAAATAGATAATCCTACGTAATATGCGATAAAAAAATATATCGCCTTTAAATTATCCCCAATAATAGTGGAAGTAAAATTCCAAGTCCTTTAATATATAAATAATACCATAATTAACGAAGAAATACGATCAATTCCACGAAATAATAACACGACGCCAAAACGTAATAATAAATTTAAAGATTTTAATATTAATAAATTTAGAAAATTCCTTCGAAAACGGCGATTTCGTCATCGACGAAGACGAAAAAATGATCAAATAGACAATAATAGTGAAAATCGAAGAAATAAATCTTCGGACAAGGTTCTGGAATAGAATAGACGAAATCATAAAAACATATCCGCAAAATCATAATTCAAAAGAATTCAAACATATAACAATATTTTATAAGATATATAATGTATTATGATTTATATATATATATATTATGAACATATATATTCAATGATTTTTTTCCATGCCCGGTCGAAGCTTCAGGGCTTGTCAAAGCACTAAGAGTATCAAAATTGGGCCTTGTGTAGAATGAAGGACAGCGCCCCAAACACCAAATATCACATTTCCCATCAATTCTCTCTAGATGTCCTAATCGGTTGCTTACAGAAATCAGGGGATCATCCAAAACATCAAGTGCAACCACTATTTTCAGACATATATTCTACAATGTTTTAATTTGAAAGCATTGAGATGACCACTTTGCAAGTGTTTGCACGACACTCGCAAATCGTTGGAAACATTTCCGGTCATAAAGAGCACCCCTTTCCCAAAGGATAATTCCCACACTCCAACCAGTGGATTGCATTCCACAAGCCAGTCTCAGGTAAATCTGGTGTGCCCAAACCCTGAAGAAGAAGCGCAATCGTCACACATCACCACCATCCAGCTCCCCAAAAACCCAGATTTCACCATCCACTTTTAAAACAACGCTCAAAAAGGAGGCTCTGAATTCTAAAAGCTGGCTTCTATTGGCTCCTTTCTCCAAGCGTCCAAGTCTGCGCTCACGGCTCCAAGTCTTCTCGGCTCATCCGATCGGATTGGTCGTCCTTCGCTTCCTCAACTGTGCTCAAGAGAGCCGGCATCATGCGCCTCAAGCGGTTGCAAAAGATGGCCAATCCTTCAACCAGCCACGTAAACACTCTCCAACCTCACACGCTATTGAGCTTGAATGAGCCCCTGTCGAAAGAAGAACCTGGTCGAAACATGCCAAAACCCAGTGTTTCGTGGTTCAGGTCCACCACCCAAAAAGAATGGCTCTTTCACATATATATATATAGATATACATTTTTTACTGAGCTTGGTGTGTCATCTGCATGCTCTTGTGAAAAACCTTCGCCGTGGGACGCGACGGGAGCCAGAAGGAACTAGGACAAGTCAGGCAGTGAGGGCCCTTCAAATAAATCATCCATACAATACTCATCATATACAACTAATATCGTACTATCATCGTAATATCATCCATATCGTATCCTGAAAACCACTCCTTCAACTCAGCATTGAGTACTCTTTTGATTGGATGATGTCTTTCGGAATACTTTAAATTTTTAGGCGATGTCTATGAAGAGTTTGTCCAGAACGGAAGTGGCACAGCCTTTTGTACAGCTCAATTCGTGGAGGAAAAGCGGTCAAGAGTCGCAAAGCGGGAGTGTATAGACTAGCGCTCTGGGAAGGGAGGAGTTGCAACAATGAGACGGATGCTTTTTCGATCTTTTTCGGGTGTTCCAAAAGGGGTAGTGTCCAGCCGATGTGCAGGTGTATTTTGAATGATCAAGATGTGAGTGGTAGTACTACTGGCTTCACACACGTGGTACTAAAAACACCTCTTGCCTGCACCTCTTCGGTGAAAAAGACAGTTAGCCACACACCCGAGGTGTCAAGGTGTCAAGGCAAACATGTTCACATCCCAAGGCAAACATGTTCACATCCCAATCCCAAACACGACCCAAACGGGACTGCCATATATGCCGCCCCATTGACCCCCAGTCAACCACCCCTGGCCGTTTTGAAGGCAGTCCGGACTGGCAGTCCTGTCTGCGTGTCTGGGAGTTGTAAGCACATTGGAGGACTAATTCAACGAACAAAAAGACTTCTCCGCCTCTGTGGACGGGTAGCTTTCTGGCCGGAATCGGCGCTTCGTCTGCAGGAAGCACGGGCAATGACCACCTGGGATGGCAAACGATTGATCGCCAGTAAACCAAAGCAAACCGAAACCATATGTTCCACGTGTTCCATTGTCTAAACATTCACCTGAAGTTTATGCTAGGCCGCTAGGCAACACCGCCAGGCGGTTAGAGGCGAAATCCAGCTGGCAGCAAATAAGACTCTCAGCAGGATGATGTGCAACCTGCAACGTCTGCACAACGGAGGGAGGCTTCAGAGACAAAAAGTGGTGGAGCCATCAGCTGACGTATGCAAATGCAGCTGATGGCTTTCTTGCAACTATATAGGTCCCTGCTGAACATATCTTGCTTCTGCCGAGGTGATTTCTTGTGAGCACGAAAGGATTCGGATAATATATAGCTTCACATCTGAGGAATCAATGTCAAGCAGTGCAAACAAAAAAGCCATGCCACAGGTCCAACATGGTTCAACCAACCTTCCTAGACCTCCCCAGCACCATGCCCGCGCGTACTGTTTGTCAAGGTACTGTTTGTCAAAAGGAGTCCTTCACGTCCGGCACGGCACTGTCAAGGAACGGAACGCCGTGGGTTGTGTGGCCTCCGCTGCAAAGGACGTTTGGAACGCCTCGCGGCTGTTGAGGCGGTCGGTGCGATGGTGTCGTCACGTGTCCTTTTCGGCGAGTTCGTCTCAGTGCATCGATTAAGATCTCTCAAAACTCACCAAAGATGGCTGGGATCTTGATTCAGTTCGGCCTAAGTCGCATGGACGAATGGGGGCACTACAGCATACTCTCCTTTTAACTCCTTTTCAATCGACAACATCATGTGCTGCCGAATCTCCGCCACCAGCCCCGTCGATTCACGTTCAGTGAACCTTGACATCATTGCTGGCCGACCTCTGCGTGCTGGCGCTCGAAGATGAGATCTAAGCAGTGAGTGTTTTCAATGTCTTCCCGGAAGTGATTGTTATACGGGTTGCCAGGGCTAGCAACATGTGGCACAGAAGCTTGGATTTGCTTAAGGAACCTGGAAAATACACAACTTATTCCCCAGAAGGAGGATTTAATCATATAGGGAAAATACAATCACCTTGAAGCAGAACCAGGCAAGGGGGTGGAGGCTGTAAGAGGTGTAAGGCTCAAATGAAGCCATCATATATTGACGTAATTTCAGTGAGCTTGCTCCAACAGACGTGGTTTCACGCTGGATGAGTGAGCACTTTGAGCACATGTGGAATGGGAAAGCAGGATCCAGCAAGGACCAGCCGTCAGAATTAGAGAATGTATTGAAATGATGACACAACAACAGTTAAATCATATACAATAAAGCTTTGATACTTTGAATAATAGCAAGTTATAGAAAAAAGTCTTTGGGGGAAGTATTCGGAGTATCGCACGTCACATACGTTACACTCTTAAGGGGTTTGTAGTCTTCCTCGCTCCCATGGCTGAATGAGAGCGCCATGGGGCCGTTCAACAGCCGCGCCTCCGGTTGGAGTTGGAAATGGCCTCCCAAAGCTTTGTTTCATGTAGAAATCGTCCATCTTGCGCATTGCGCGCTCGGGCGTCCGGCGCCAGGGTCCCCAGCACTTTGGCCAAGAATCCTGCAAACCCATCGAACTCAGTTCAACCTGGGCTTCCTTGGGTATGTCCCAGTGTTCGTCAAGAGAAGTCTGTACAGATTCCACTCCACAAGAATATGCGCTGAAAGTATACCACAAAAAGCTGGAATAGTATGGAATAGTCATCTATTGCGTGAAACCTCTTTCCACGCACTGCACCTCCGTTTCACTCCTAGCTCAATCCGTCCTGGTTCCTCCAAGATCTTCAAGATCTCTTGGTATCTTTTCATGGCCTGACGAGGCCAGGCCACGTCGGCAGAAGACGCTTCTTTTCGTTTGGCATCAGGTCTTTTTTACTTGACAGGCCAATGGCCACTGTCGTATGCCCACCGGCAATGAATCAACGGAGAGGAAAAAGATGCGGTTGTTCCCAAGAATCTCATCACGAGTTCCGTTCCAAGAAATCTCACCACTTTCATCTTTTCAAGCCATATGTACGTGGCCGAATTTCCTTTTAACAAAAGCGGGCTCTCCTGACCTTCTCGTACTTGAACCCTCCTGGCGCCTACAGTCTCCTTCCTCACCTCACCGTATCCAGCAGCCGGTCATTCGATCCATCACCCCATGGCGCGCGAAGAAGCGGTCGGTCCGTCCGTCTCCGGTTCCCCGCCTCGGGGAAGTAGGCGGCGAACTCCGAGGCCTCGCGGCGCAACCAGACGTTGAGGCAAAGTCGGTCCAGCTCCAAGGCACCCGCGGTGCTACAGCGGGCCACCCAGGCGTAGCCTTGGAGTCAGGTCGTAGCTGTGGGTGTGGTGTAGGTTACTTGGTAGAGGTAGGTTAGGTGTGTGCGTGTGTGGGTGTGTGGAAGAGGTTTGGACCTTTCGGTGATATGGTGTGTGGGTGAAACTCATCCGAGTGGGTTCCAATAGATGGAGGTCTCAAATCGATGGAGGTCTCTGGTTAGTCTTCCAGATATGACCAGTCTTTTTGGCTCATATCCATCTCGGGATGGCTAGCTTCTCCCATTTTGCGCAAGTTGAGTGTTTCCTCGGCAACGGGTTGATTACCGGTTGATCGAACGTCGAAAGCGAGAAGATGTCAGTTCAAAAAACCTGATATCTATAAGCAAATCTGCACCAAATACAGATAATACAGTACTTTCCAACAAACAGAGGTTGAAGAATCCTATAGACTATAGACTATCCACGACTATCCTATATCGGTACCCTAGTATGGTCCTATTTACGGTCACTTTTGTCCCCTCTCTTGCTTGTGACGCTCTGTGACCTCACAGCTTTGGACGAGCAACATGGTTCATCTCCACCGACCAGCATCCGCGCGGAATGCAAGAGCAGGTACTCGCGGCGCTTCCACTTCTGACGGCAGTAGCTGGCATCCCTCACCACGAGCCTGAGCGGCGAAACGCTGAGCACCAATCAGGCTGCCCGGTTTGGGGGGGAGATGTTGTATGCGTAGTATATGCAGTATGTTTTATTGTGCATCGTCTGACAGGTTCATACAGGTTTTAGATGGTTTTAGCTTCAAATGGGCACATGTTCTCTTGGAATCTGTTTCTACTGACTTTTTCATGGACACCTACTCTAGGCACTCTAGGGGTACCGATTTGCTAAACAATGTTCCTCTTCCTTCGGGACGCTGATCACACCAAAATACGGCATTTCCCAGTGACAACCAAATGGTTCTAGCTTCAATAAAGCAATATCATAGTGGCTAACTCCCAAGCAAACCTGTGGCTTCCCGTCCACAACTGCAACCACATGATCTACAAATTATTCGTACACGACTATCACCGACCATCTACTTCCCAGCACAACAGTGGCAGATCGGATGGCCAGGGGCTGTGCGTGCAAAACAAAGTCTGACCGCATGGGTGGGGAACCAGGGGCGTGAACAGGACCATTTAGAAAATTTGCTTTCAGGTCAACGGACATTGTAATCGCCTTTTGAATGCTAGGGTATATATGTATACACCCCCAACTCAGTCCTCAGCGTGCCAAAGTCACCCCTCCGCGAAGCTATGAAAGGACTCCAATAAGCTCTGGCACTCTTGACGACTTCGCACGGTCCAGCGGCGCGGCTTCGGGACGCCGATGTCCACGTCCAATTCCTGCAGAGTCTGCATGTCGCGGGTGCCCAAGTGGTAGAGCTGGGCCTTCGGATAATCCAAGACCACTCCTGGGAAGATGTATAGATCAGGAGGCACCAGATTGGGGATGAATAAACAAAAAATACGGTACCAACCAACAAAAAACACAGGAAACTGAGATATTCGGTTTCCCTCAGTGAGCTGGGGAATGAGATTTGGGTCTTTGGATGCTGGACATCAAGATGTCTCAAAGTATTTTTACCCCACTTAAGGTCACTTGAGTGGAGATTTCTCACAAAGACGCGCAAGGAACTATAATCATCTTTTGTTCCACACATTTTGGTGATGTCCAACAACAACAACAACAACAAAAACCTTAAGTTCCAACTCAGATTCGAAACTCCGGATGCACACGCTCGAACATGTAACAACACTTGGGGTCCAGTCGATCATAGTTGAGGCCACTGTTCTTCGCTGCTTCTGCGAAGAGATCGTAATTGGATCGCCCAGTGCAAGCGTATTTCCCGGTCAAAGCACAAACTCTCAGCGTGCGGTTGCTGGCCAAGCGCCAGGTATCCTCAGGGATTCAGGCTTGGAGAAGAGGAAGCAATCAGGCCAATAGGACTCTGAAAACACACTGTAAGTGGAGGTGGAATGAAAAGGATACAGTAAGGTCCTATGCACTGTCATATGCCTATACTATCCTATACTTGTGTCGTTTGGTGTTTCCCTTCCAGTGCATTGATATTTGTTGGTCTTTTGGATTCTTTTGGTTTGTATAAACTATGAACATTCCACAGGATCTGGACCAAACGTCTCCAGTGGGGGCAAAGCCACATATTTGTGTTGCATGCTTTGCAGCGCTTTGTGTTCCAACATTCAATGTGGTCAGTGGTCACCTAATTGTTTCAGCAGGTCTCCCCCAAAAGGTTCAATTTCATTCAGTCATTCGCCCCATGTTTCTTCCCCTGCTGTTCTTTTCTGCAAGCCCACCCGAAAGGCGGATGAGACAGAAGAAAACCCAGAAAACTGACCGCCCTTTTTTGACCACGAAACTCATGTGGTTGATGGATCCTTTTTGACCAGGAAGCCTTCGAGAAATCCAACCCCCACCATCAGTTGACCAGTTGCTCTATGCGTCTGTCTGAGACGCGTTTTGGGAGCTGCACCACCGTCACGGGCATCTTTAGAGAGGGGTGGGCACCTGGCCCTATCCTCATCCACTGGACCCTTGTAAGAGGACAGACCTGCCACTGCCGGGCTGTTGATCTATGTTGATCTATCCCCATCGCCTTGTAGAAGAAGAGCTTCATCAAATTGCCATCAATCTTCTCCTCTGCCACTGCCGTGGTCCAGTCGATCTCATCTGTTTGACGCTCAGAATGGTTCCAGAACTTCATGAAGGGCAAACCTCAATGGAGAATTCCCATCTGGTCACACAAAACATCCTCCCGCATGCAAAAAGAATCAAACAGTGAGTGATGTTCGGCTTAAAAAGTTCAATGACAAACTAGCCTCCTTTTGACCAGCTATGACTTGTCTTTGCTCATCTGCTTGCCAGGTCAGCTTTGCAACCTGCACAGCGTCTCACATCGTGGAACTCTACACAGCCTCGACCGAGCTGCACAGCAAACGGCCAGAGGATTTCTCGTAGACGCTGCCTCGATTCGCTTCCAAGACCTGGCGATGTGATTTTGATCTCTGACTTATTTTTTTCTCCCGACTGAACGAGCCGAAGAGGCTTCGGCATAGCGAAGTCTTCGGGTTCTTGGGAAAAGCTTTCGGATCGGGAGGCATGTGCGAGGCATGTGCCGAGGGGTGCAGGTGCTCCAAAAACCGAGATTCTGCCCAACCTGAATCCGATTGAATCGCCGACCAAAATGAGTTTTGGGTGTTCTTCGGATATCTTGTGCATTCACCTTCCGCTGCGGATGATCTATATGCACAGGAGAGTACATCAGTCCAACGTTGCCATCGCGGCCATCACTCTTTGATTTCTACACACAAACACAATCTCGAAGGAATCACAGGCCTCTACCTGCGGCAAAGGATTGGAAATACTCAAAACCAGGGACTACCCATGGTTGCCTATACTTCTTGTTCTTGCATATGTCACGGAGTCTGCCGGTCAGATGATCTGAAAATTTCGTGTTAGTGTCCTTCATGACGTGACTCGTCCAGCTATTGATGGACAACTTCTGTACAGGAACTACTGAGTCGGTTTGGTCCATCACATTTCTGTAGATCAAGCTTTTCCCATTCTTCTCTACCAAACCGACTCTGACACACCAAAACCAAACCACAAATTACTCTGACCGCACCATGGACCACACCTTCCGCCACTCGCGTTGCGACCACAAGCTGCTGTCATGTCGAGCGGACACAATGCAAAGATCCTGCAGCAGTCAGACCGAATCAACGTCGCGGGGCAAATTTTGAGATGTATTAGTATAGACATCCAGTGAAGTTCGATACCAATCTGTAGCAAGTTTGGAAATGAAGAAAAAGGAAGACACACCTGTTGTAGATGCTGTAGGATCACCTGTAAATAGGGAGTGTTTGGGAACACTATGGAACAAATAACTCTCAGTCTTTCACTCGGTCTACCAAGTGCTCTACCAACGATCTCTACTCTGTATCTCCTCATCCTCTTCCACGTGGACTTCGTAGTCGCCACACAAGATCCTTTGCTCTTAAGGATCGATCCGCCGACCCATACGACAAAGCAAAGCAAGGATAAGGATCAAAGCGCACATGCAAACAGCACGATCACCGTGGATCGTCATCTGTCAACTGATCATGTCAGAATCTGTCAGAAAAAGCTGACAAGTCAGATATATATGTTGACCAATGATCTCAGCGTTTTTAGATGTTCTGAGCAACGTGAAACCGCTCTCAATGGCTTGAGTATATATTTATAAATATATATATATATTTAATCCCAAAAAAACATGCAAGACCAAACATATAACGCTTCTTATTTCAACACGCTCTTGCTTCCTTTGGTCCAAGGATCTTCTTCACTTCCTCCCATGAGCGATCCTCCCAAAGCTGCTCCACCGGGCATGGCACGTCCTCCCTCGTCTTGGAGCGCGAGCGCGAGCGCGACGTCGCAGAGCGCGAGGTCGCACGCGTGGCCATGTGCCACTCGGGGGGAGGGTCTTCTGAGCTGCCACCATACTCCTCCTTGGAAGTGAATCTGCTCCACGCACTAAGTGATGTTGACTGGTTTGTTCTGCAAACGAGGTAGGTTTGCCGTTTCATTGGGATGCTCTATGAACGAAGGTTTGCCTTGCAAGTCCATTGAACCTACAAATTGCATCAAGTGGCATCAGGTGAATCAAGTGGCAACTATGTTGTCAATCTTTCTTGAGCGGCCACAGTTGTTTGAGCTCACCCAAAAAAAGAGAAGACAAGACTACCCCCCACAGGTCATTCACCTTATTTTACTGGAGTTGGTCATACAAAAACACTCCTAAAGTGAGTTTTACATAGTTTTACTGGATCATGCCGGACCTGTTTAGGTCTATAATGGTCTATATAGATCTCTTTTGGCCTTGCCCCCCCTTGCTCTTCACGCTCTGCATCGATGAAGTCGTCCAAGCTATAGGCAGCTCCGTCCGTGGGATCCACACGCAGCTCCATAGGGGCGTTCCGCCGATGGCCGATGGGCCGATGGTAGGCTGATGGTCCATGAGGTAAAAACTATAGGTCTGTTCTTGGATTTGAGCTGGGAAAGGGGATTCACCTATAGGATGTAAACAAAAGTACTAAGCAACACCAGGTATTTTTTGGTGCGTGGAAATTCCGGAAGACACCGCCCTTAGGATGAGCAACTCAGGGGGACTCGAAACATCCTTTTTTCGCGGTTCAATGCCTGGTGAGCTTGAGAAACGAGCTGGACAAACCGCTATACGCCGTGTGGAGCAAAGAGGCGCAGCGAGAATCACGTGCAAGGATGAGGATGACCCCTTAAGAAGCTGTTTCCATGGCAGACAGAAACCATTCTTAATTCTTCCATTCATTGAAACTCAGTGGGAAGTCGTTTAAATCCTTTGTCCCAGCACTTGGTGGTGGACAAGCCGGTCATCCTCAACATTCTGACTATATAACCACTTTATGCTGATACCAATTGGGGCCAGTGTAAATTGTGATGAAGGGCCACTCGTGAAAATTGCAGCGCTTGATCCTCGATGACAGGCTGGCAGCACTCATACAACTGCAGAACACCATGGACCTTCATGAACATGTCAAAGAACCTGAAAAACGTAATGAACTAACATATGCGCAACACGAAATTACAGGAGATTCCTGAAGCATCCTGACAGGAACTTCACCCAACACAACAGGCTTGGAAAAAGCACATGTGTATAATACTGTGTAATGCACTGGCAGGGAGCTTTCCCATCAGGACTTGTGACATGCGTATCGTTTTTGTTCGGCGGTACTTTTCACTCGGCCACAGCATCTGTGACATCTCGATCTGCATCTTCCAGCATCGGTGGCTCATGGCCTGTTACAGCGAATTGCACAGTGCCAGGCGCAGGTCGCCCAGGGAATGTGCCCTTTACCCCGATGACTACGGACTTAAGTGACTCACCCCGATGTTGTGACAGTCACTGCATGCATCCTATAGGCAGTCCCTAGGCAAAGTCCTGTGTTTCTCGATGATAACAGTTCTCCAAGTATCTTACTGCCAATGGAACTGCATATTGATGTGGACCAAGTCACTTGACTGATTCAAAGCTGCTCATCAAGAGACGTGAATCCAGTCCAGGAGCCCAGTCCTTTGGCATCTCCAAAGTAGTGCCGCCAGATGCTCTCCCTGGCACAGCACAGCTCCGTTTATGGTATCTATATGTCTATATATATATATACATGGTGGTCCCTTTCTTCCAGTGTCGATCAGCATACAAAAATATCAAAGACATGACGAAGAGGGCATATGTCTCTTCCAACCATCATGCTTCACTGCCAAGCAGCTGTGTGGACGACAGGAAATGGCTCAACCTCGGCATTCGCAAGCCATCCAATTGTTGCATTGCATCATGGTCTTGTCAGCACATATGATCAACATCTAATATGTGAGTGTCTATTCCACTATGAACAAGCACTTTGAGATCTTTGGGAGAGCAGCATGTTCTCACATATCTCGTGTCAAGCACCGCACCCTGTAGCAGTCTTCTGTTCATGAACAGTTGGGGATTGAATTGCTAGAGTAAACAAGCTACAGCTGTAGCTATAGCCATCTGTACCCGAAAACACCCAAAGCGCTGCAAGTACCCGCAGACCCTGCTACTTCGATACTGAACGTTGACCAGTCCATGAAATCCGCTAGTTCCACACCCCCCGTCTTCTTCGCAGCTTCGTCTTCCGGTTGGTATTCTTCGCTCCCCAGCTGACTGGGATCGAAAGTCGGCCCAATTGGCACCTGTCCACCACGTTCCAGACATTCAGAGCCAGGAGGAGAAGCACTCGTCTTGCACTCTTACAGCCGAAAAAAGGTCTGTGCCAGTCTTGCACTTCACAACTAGAATCGATGGGGGAAAGCCAAGAGATCAAGGGGAAACAATTGACAATCCGTAAAACCGGTCCGGGAGCTGTGAAGCCGTCACCGGTCTTGCGAAAAATATGTACCATCCTTGTAGGTCAGGGCTAAACCAACTCCTGCAGTAGGTGAGGTAGAGATGACTGATGGTCACTAGTTTTGGACATCCAATTTGGTGCTTCATGGGTTTCATCCAAACAGCGGCCACCACAAGCTCGTTTCGTTCCGTTTCACTTAACACTGTAAATCACCACGACTGGTACAGGAGTTCAGGGGAGTGGGTCCCACCCCTCCGGTAGTGGAGCTTGGCTGTCAAGTAAGCGATAACTAATAGAAAACATCCAACATTAGAACCATCAGTGCTTACCACTCGATGGACTCCACTGAATTGGGCTCGTGGGACTTGGATCCCTTGGATCCTCGTATCTGTGAAAGGTCTCGTCGAAAGAAACTCGCGGACTGGCTCTCGCGATCTCATAGAGGTCTCATGATCCGGGGGTCAGAGTCGATACGCTAGATCAAGTCTCAAACAAGTCAGTCCAAGAAGACTTGGAAGACCTGCCTTCTTCGCCTTCTTCGGCTTTGCACCTTTCAGCACAAGCTCCTGGGGAGGAACCAGGGAGAAGAAAACCTTTGGTGACATCTCCCTCTCAACGGAATCCCGTCAGAAGCATCTGAAGTCTCAGCGAAACCAAGCGACGTCATGCAGCATGGTGACTCAAGTGCTCACCAGGTCGACGGTCGACCACCTCGTCATGAGGCTTTGACTCCTGAGAATCCTCAGCTGGGTCACAGTCATTCGGAAATGACCAAGTCCCCAGGCCTCTGGGAGCATCTTTGGCTGAGCGACCTTTCAGATTGGATTGGATGGATTGGACAGGCACGGGCGGGAAAGTGTTGCAACATGGGTGGATGGCTGAAGTACACAAAGAACCACAGCACTTCCATCCAACTCAGCATTCAGGCTTCACATGCCCTATAAGAATCTTGACCTTGTTTCAAGAAGGAAATCCAAAAAGGTCAATTCAAGGACTTGAAGATCAAGACCGTTTAAAGCTACCCTTTAAACAACAAAAACACCCAATGCACGTCCAAATCCAACCCGGTCCCGTCTGTACCTGCGAACCCTTGCGGAGGCTGGGCAACGGCACCAAGCCTCAGGGGCCACCCGCTTACCGACCGTTCCCGGATGGTGCACCGGCGAGGTTGGGTTGGACAGGGCGAAGGGATGCGAAGGGCGAAGCAACCAAATCACCATATACACTATTAAGTGACTTCAACCGCACACCAATCACTAGTGATTCATGTATCATAGTGCGAAACCAATCACTTTCAAACAGGCCCAAGTCAGGCATGGTTAATTCTGGTTGGTTGTGATGCCTGTTCCCGAACTACAAATGGCTCTTGTCAACTCTTTCCCTGGGTACCCCGTGAGCTGAAGAGCCTCCTTATCACGGTGTCACTTTCCATGGCAATCTGGCACGGACCGCCTCGCCCGCGACTCGTGGATCTTTGGCAAAAGGATTTAAACACAAACACATAAAAAACATAAACTTAGTCTTGATTTGTAACCGACGGATCAAGGACCTGCCTTTGGATCAACTCGCTCCATGGATGGGGTCTGAAAGCCACGGCGTGATTTTTTGGGTCTTCACCGTGACTCAATCATTGAAATCGACGTGATTTTTGGTACGATTCCTCATGACTCGTCTTCGAGACACAGCCTCCGATGGCCGGGACGGGGGAGGCGCCACGCTCGACGACCGCGACCGACGTCTGGGGGCGACCCACCGCCGCAGTAGGCCTTTCGACAACTTGGGACAGGGCGCCTGCGGAAAAGACAGGAAGTCAAGCGGGGGGGTCGCGTGCATCCTCCTCCGTGCTGAGGTGTTTTTGGTGGGTGTTGGGGGGTTTTCTGTGGATGTTGTTGTGTTGATAAAATTGATTGTATTTTTTATGTGGATGGTTTGTGGCGTGTTTTTGATGATACTTTTGGCTTTTTCTGTGGATGGGAGCTCTTTAAGTGCACGCGCTCGTTCATGGTTCGCTCGCGTGATCCCTTTCACCCAGGCCTCTCTTCTTTGCGGACCCGAAGCTCCTGTGGAGGGAGACGGCGACGACCGACGGTTGCTGTGTAACGACTTCCCCGTGGAGAACGGGTGACGGACACGGGCCACCCAAACAGGATGATGCAACCTGGAGGCAACAAGCATATCGTAATATTTTTTTGCATCCCAACTGGGTGCTGTTGGTACATGCCTGTAGAATTCCTTGCCAGCCGAGCCCGGCCTGATCAAAATAACATGACCAGGTAAGGTCTCCAATGTGGGCCGAGTCAAGCTGATGCGGTCCAAAAGGGTCAAACTCTTCCTTGTTTGGCCCTTCCGTTCCAACACCAAGGGGACTTGTTGGACCGCTGGCATTCGACTTGAGAGCTCTCTCAGTGGAGACATCCGAGAAAAATCCTTCTAGAGGTGGAACTCGGCATTTACATCGGAGCTCTCTGCATCCATTGATATCCACGAACCCATTTTAATATATTACTGCAAGTCACTGCAAGTGATCACATCAACTCGTAGCAACATGTGTAGCAATTATGTGGGCGAATGCTAGCACCAAGATATACACACGCATATGATACAAAAAAGACAAAACGTGATTCTCACTACAAAGGATGGCAAACACATACACCAGTTTCCAACACCGGCTCAAAAACAACTTCACTCTCAGGTTTATTTGTGAGATCTACTCACCGCTCTGGTGGATTTCTCACTTTTCATCAAATGCTCGACGAGTTCACGAATGTTCATGAGCTCCTAAGTTCCACACGCAGGTAGCTGCCCCCACACGCACGAACGAACGGTTTCCATGAACGAAACAACTCCGACGGCATGAGCTGTGTCTCGAAGTTTCATGCGGCTTCGGAAACCACTCCGTCTCTGCCGCAACACGCCGAGCCTTCGGAGGTTCAGAGCCTCAGGTCAATGCGGCTGGGGTGCTGCAAGCAGCGTCCGAGGTGGGTGTTCGGGCCAGGATGACCCTGTTCCGAAGGTTCTTTGACCTCACTTGGGAATACAACTCCCTACCAGGTGACCCCACCATGTCTTTTTGAGGTCCAGAGTGTACTCCTATACAGTATACACTACAGTTTCCAGGGCCATGTGCAAGCATATGAAAGCATTGCTGCTTCTTTCACGGCATGTCCACAAATGGCTCGTCAAGGATATCACAAGATGGAGTGGCCCGAATTGAACAACTGCAATGGCTGATCATTTACTTCCTATCCGAAAAAAAGACTAAAACAACACACTAACAAATCTTTTAGGACACCCAATCTACCCATCTCCTAAAAGGTCTAACCGGCGAAACACCGAAGAAACAAACACCCTCAGACATCATCAGACATCCAAATCCACCCGTTTTAGGTCCAAAGCCAACACCATTCGAAGCTCCAAGATGCCAGGAGGAGTGACTGGAGGAGTGCCAGGTAGCTCGACCTGCATCGATGCGTAGCCAGGGCCACCAGGGTGCATCGGTCACTGACGCAAAGCACGAGGATTGAAATCGTCAATCAAGCACCAGGCCCAAACTCACAACAAACCCGTTCACTAATATATTATCTGTAATGATCTGTAATGTAATGTATAAATGTATACATGTAAAATTTATAATATACAATACTCTTGTTTGATCAAAACCCGCCTTTTGGACGATTAAACAGCCTCTTCGTATGGGGGGGTTTGTTGATCAAAAGCTAACAATTCACAATTCTCCATGGTGCTGTAGGGTTCCACTTGACGACACAGGTCTCCTGAAGCCGCTCCACTCATCTTCCCCACCACTTGGGTGGTCTCTCCAACAAAGACGGGGTGCCAGCCTTGTCGTCAAACAAGGTCTTCACATCCAAGCCGAGATCCTCGTGACGAAGGGCCGAAGGCGGCCGAAGGGTCGTCAGGGCCGGGACATGAGAAGCCCAAGTCCTTGATCGAAAGAGAATGTATATCAGCACCCGACTCTACAGGTCTCCTCTTGAGGCTTTTGTAGACTTAAAAGTCGCAGGTGGTGACCTGTTGGAGGGTCCTGGTAGATTCTTGCTGGTTGCAGTGAACATCCAGTAGACCGACATCCAAAAACGACTTTTCTGGTGGAGCCATCGATCTGCAGTGACTCTGCAGCAACTCAAAATATCCCCGGATCTTCATGTCGGGGTGTTCAATGGAGATCCACGTAGTGTAGGGTATGACGGTGCTGGTATGTTGTTTTTTGTTAGCAAAGTCCTTGGATATGAGGAAACAACTGGGACCCATGAACCTGCTGCAAGCACCTCCGATCAGCATCAACCAAGCGTACCTCGATCAGCAATAGGAAGTGGGGTTGATGAACCTTTTGGGGCTTAGTGATGCTTCGTGTGATGTCTTGATGTCTGTGCCGCTCCATTCAATCCAAAGGGTGGGCATACTACGTCTCATTGCTAAACCAACTGCCCCAAAACCAACTAGAGCCAAAACCCAAACACCACCACCGCCACCACCCAAAGGTTGGTTTATAGACCCCGCGTTTTGATGCGTTTTCCATCCAATAATCACCCAACCTGGGTGGTGGTGCTGGCACTTTCAACTCTGACTCGGTGAATTCATCCCAAATTCTCCACTCCAAGGAGCGCCACCTCCGCCCCTCCCTTCTCGGCTGCCCCGACCGGCGCGGACGAGACCCGTCGGATGGGTCGGACCTGTCAGAGAGTCATAGAGCATGTGTTTTTGGCTCTGAAGGTACTGGGGATATAGAGCTTCAGGTGATCGGTCTGAGGCGTGAAAGGGTGGAGCACCGAACGAAGGGCTGGTACAATTTGAATGAATTTGACTCAGAACGCCAAAAGGAAACAGTGTGTTGAACATTTGCTCCACTTGGAGGACATTAGCCAATTTCATGCAGCTTCCATATCAACATCACCGACGAGAACCGGGGAGTTCATTGGGCAAAAGAAATAAGTATGTCGAGTGTGTCTCCAACTATTTTGGAACCTCTCTCTTGACCCGAGAAACTGCTTGCATGGTGATATGTATATATATATATATACTAATATACTACCACACCATTATAGTATCATTATAGTCAATGTATAGTCAATGAACCAAGCATGTTGAACATGAAGACCTATGGGCACACTGCAGACGGTGGTTTTCCTCATGTTCCTGGGACAAAGAAAACACCTACAAAAAATACACTGCTCGACTTTATTTACATGATGTCTTCAAGCAATAGTTGATCTAGCTGATGAATGCTGATGATATATTACTACCTGCAACGCAAATGGCAGAATTACATGTTAAAAAAAAAAACAATGATAAAGCTCGTGGCACAAACTCGTGTACTAAACCATACTAAACCATACTACACCTACTTGTGTAGGCTTCATGATGCGTAGGGAGAAACCTTGTGGCGCCATCTTCCCAGGCTCCCTGGTCCTCCCAACGGCCAGTCCGACACATCCCGCCTTGGGCAGCACTGGTCCGCTCCGGGGGCGGCCCTGAGCAGAAGCAACGAGCGAGCGAAAACAGGTCGACAATGGATCGTGATCTTGTGAATAAAATGGCTTTAACACTTTGTGTGTTTTGCAAGAGGAAAGTGCTTTGCTACGGAAGATTTAAGCATGGTTGTTCACGATTAGCTCTAAGCCTCTATAGCTCTATATTATAGGAACATTCCACCGTGTTTTCGCCACTCATGCCCGAATTCCTGTGCTCCGCCACATCGCCGCGGTCCAAGCCCAAACCTAGCGTTATGTTGCGGTCCAAGGCACAACGGCCACGTGGCCCTCGGGCACTTGGGACCAGTGCTTGTTGCCCATGGCAGTGGTTTCCATGACCAACTTGTGAATGATCTTTTCGCTCTTGTGCGCCTCAGGAGGTCGGGAGGAGAGCGACGCGAGTCTCAGACTCAGAGTCGGAAAAGACTCAGAGCCAGTCAGAGCGATTTAAAAGCGTTTTGGCTGGGTCTGGGTGAAGCGCCGGAAGAGTGTGGGGTCCTTTTCGCTTCGGGTGAAGCCGGATGGGATTTTAATGGCGGTGGAAGAATGGGGCTGCTGAAGAAGGGCAGTGAGGAAGGTCCATAGAACCCAGCTCATAGGGCAGTGAGGGCAGTGAGTTGACCGCTTTAGAAGTCTATCCACTCACTTCCTTTCAAACCCCCTTGACCCCCAAAACATGGCCCATGCATCATGGTCTCGCTGGCGCCGCCTCAGGTGGTCTTCGCTTCATGCGACGCCTGGATCGGGCCATCGGAAGAATGGAGGCCCTCGATGAATTCATTGGGAGCATGCAGGCCATGGAGGCCATTTTAGAGGTCTCCAATCGAAGCATGGAGCCCATGGAGATCTGGGTAGAACTTGGAACTCGTTGGACCCGACTGAGAGGGCATGGTCTTTTGATGTCTCTTGTGTACTTAAAAATTATGACTGACCGATTCCTCATGATTCTTCCCATCTTCCTCAGTTGGAGATGCTCCATCCGCCTCGTCCGTTCCCGCAGCACGGAGGCGCGCTTCTGCGGATCCTTGAGCGGATCAAGGACGGAGCTGGAAAAGCTCATAATTAAACTTCATGATGTATGCTGGTATTGTAGATCTCGTGTCCCTGCAAGACTTTGGTGATCCATACGTTCCATACGTGGCACTGTGATAGACACGCAGCAGCCCGTCAGCCCGTCGTCGTCGAAATGCACTGATCTGGCTGTGGGTCATGGCACCCAGACCCCTAATCCCGTTGACCTCCCCAAACATAGCGTGTTCATGTTCAGTAGTCAAAGAGGGTCTCCCAGTTTTGACCCAAAGCCATCTGTCACCAGGCCGACGGATTCTCTCATTCTCTCATATTCTCTATCACCATCGCCTTCTCGAGAAAGAGGAGGGAGTCCGTGGTGATGCAGCCACGGGTGTGTTGATCCAACATGGGCCACAAGTTCTGTAGCACCGCCTCCTCGAGAACAGGAAAGGAGCTGATCAAAAAGAAAATCGAGAACTGAGGGTAAAGGCTCCATTGTGATCTTGAGTAGGTAACCAAGGAACTCTAGCTCGTGCGCTTCTACTCAGTTCTACAGTACTCACTTGCCCCATGGGTCCCAGGACTGGTCAACAATGATATCCAATGTCTCACAAACAGTTCTTCATCCACCCAAGTCTTAGCTTCAGTCTACCGCATACTACCGCACCCCCTTTTCACACACCACCATCCTCCAGTCGCCAAAAAGGCAACCCTCCCACAATGCCCAGCTCCCACGGCCGCAGTCGTCGCAGCCGTCGGGTCTCTCCCGCGTTTCCAGCTTCTTCCAGATCGCCTCCTGGCGGTCACGAGCGGCGGGCGGCTGTTTATCCGTCGGCTGCAAGGTTCACGACCAATGAGTTCACCGAGTGAAAGAGTTCACCGAGATGATGGGGTATTTGCGCGGCTTTTTTCTCCGGGGGGCTGAGATTGTGGCCAGGCATGTGCCATTTGGTGAGCGAAAAAGAACTCCTCTTCAGGGTCTGCAGAAAGACTGTGAACATTTCAACTATACAGGTTAGATGGTGCAAAATGTCTTCCTTCAACAGCAGGGCTGCCCCCATGCAGGTTTATCGGGTTTATCTGCTCCTCAGGGTTCTCTTCCCACATCTGACATTCTAGCGATTACACGGATCATAGAACAACATACCCAACCCCGTGTTCGACATGGTTCTCTCATTTTTATAGGTACTGCAGTTACAGGAAACACGACCATGCACCCACGCAAGCAAGCTGATGTGCTGGTCTTCCCTCAATATCAGCTTCCCAGCCGCTTTGGTGAAGACTTAACAACCAACCCTGGCTAAGCTGTTGGGCGGAACTCAGCGACAAACCCTTGTAGTGGAGAACTCTTGTGGGAGTCGCTCAAAAAAATGTATTCATTGCACACAGAGTGAAATGGGCCTGGCCGTGGTTTTGGGAGTCGACTTGGATGACCCTGAAATCCGAAGACGAAACAGGCAACTGAACTCCACTCGTCCGTAAGTTCTTTCTGTGAGTCGGAGTGTATACATTTAAGTGAACATGTCATGTCATTATTGTTTACCCCGAAAAAGCATGTCTCTCTTTCAGGAGGATGTCTCTCTTATGCCCAACGATGGTGAAATCATGTGAAATCACTTTCACAACAACTCTTAATCTTAAAGCCAATCAACATCCATTCGTGTCTTCCATGCCTATCTGTCCATCATGCTTTCAAGCCATATATGGCTCTAAACCTGTCAGAAAACCATGACTCCTGCCGTGGAAGGGCCGGTGAAACAAGGCACCATATCCCCTCCCATCTCATCCGCCGGGACGACGCCATACGCCCAACCAAGCGCCTTCGCCAACACACCGGGAGGATCGAAGAAGCCCAAGCGCTGTAGACCGTCCACAAACTTCTCCGCCCTGGATTGAGGATCATGAAGTATCATGAATGATCCTTTTCCTCAAACACTCCATGGGATTGGAATAGAACCCAAGCTAACATGGCAGTCACATGGAGTGTTTGGGTCATGAGAAAAGGATCATATCGTATTCCGACGAAAGGCCGGCGAAGGAAATTAGAACATCAATTGGGTTGTTTCTCAAATTTCATGTTCAAGGAAGGTTCGATACCCCCATGCTCAGAACAAATACAAAGATTAAACAAACACATGGTTGTCAAAACATGTGCCCTGATTGTATGCCCAACTGCTGTTGGAGTGTGAACCCGTCTTGGGGCTTACAATGCAGTACAGCTTTTCAATCAGTTTGACATTCACAAAGCAGGTGCTTTGAAGTATATCAGTATATCACTTGTTTGCTTGATTCTACCCGAACATGTGCCAACAACCCTGGCATCTCAACCTCCACAGCCTTGACGCCTGAGTTGGCTGGCGCATATGCATTGAACGCACCGCGCGAGGCCGCGAGACGGGTCTGGGGATCGGACGTCAGGGAGTCGCTGCCCTCGAACGCTTGGTCGATGGTGCGGAAGACCTGGCGGACGTGGTCCGACGAGCTGCGGACCTGGGGGTGGACCCGACCTGCCACACGCGTGGCACGGGAGGAGCGTGGCACGGGAGGAGCGACTAGCACCCGTTGGGTGACCTCTTTTGACCAAAGACGACTGTGGGGAGGCTCAGAGTCGACCCAGACCATCTCATGAATGCAAATCATTCATTCCAGCAAGTTCTGATCATCAAGACCAACCAAATCAACTCGTCTTTCTTCACATGATTGCCTGTGCTGTGCCTCAACACGTGCCTCTCTCCCAAGCACCCTGAAACCGGTCGGGCTCCGCGGCGACGCACGGATCCACCCGGAACCCGACGACCGGCTTTCTGCCGCGAGCTGAGCGGAGCGGTTTCGTGCCTCTAACGGACCATCGCGCTCGCCAATGGAGCACCAGACCTCCCAGAAGGAGCGCCGCTCGCGACGTCGCAGGGGACGTCGCACAAACGAGAGCTGCGAAGAGTTCAGACAGCTCGGGGCCCGAGTTCTGATATGTCTTTCATCGAATGAAACAAACATGCCTAGGCTAGGCATCATGATGCATCACGTGTGTCAACACCACGAGTTTTTAAGTGCAAGCTGGACATGAGAAAACTCAATCAATTGTCTTTGAATGAACCAAACACGAATCAACCTCAAGCCCCCAAACAAGGCCAAAACCACCAAATACGAGGATCACCGTGATCACTGTTGTTACTTCACGCGCAGGTGGTCGCAACAACTGAGTTGCACGTCCCTTTCTTCTCGGCCTTAAAGGCATTGAGCAGCAAGGCGCTTTCCTTATCCACCGCCTTCAGCCAGGCTCTTCCACTCCCCCCGGAGTGTTCGCCGGACGTTGGTGCCGTGGTGGACAAGACGTGTTGGTGCCAAAGAGGACCCTGAACTCACTAGTCTGGTTTTAGCCCCAAACAGGACCAATGGGACTGGCATGTGTACATTGGGGTGCCTTTTTGGGAGGTGAATGATAGGTAAATATCCCAGACCATGCATGTATGTTACACATGGAATAGTTAATAGTTACATACATTTGGCACATTTATGCCCCCAATCTACAGATAATATATATATATATATAAAGCATATAAAGTAACTTATTCCATACCCGGATACTGTGGGTATTCGCCATGGCTGCTCTTGGAACCCCCCAAGGATGGCGGCCTCGAACTTCAACTGGGGCGTGGAAGGACCCGCCAGCTCGTGCCAGAGTCGAATCACGTCTCCTGAAGACGAAAGATGTTGAAACGAGTGACGTTAGCACCTGGCGAAGTCGAGGTTAGGAACTCCAAGTCGACGCAGGTTCTTTTTTGGAGTTCCAAGAGTTTTTAAGGGGGGTCCGAGATTCAGTGAATGGATCTTTTAGTGCACCCAAATTCTCCAGAAGGAGCACCCTGACATACCCTGACCATTCAATTTGTTGGGATTTCTCCAGTGTTCTTCAGCTTGCGCGGTCTCCTGAGAAGTGAAGGCTCACTAAGGCGCCGCAAAAGTCGTCGAACTTCACTTCCTTGGAAAGCGATTCCGGGCACCACCGGCGCAGCACTGTGCAGATCTCAATGCAGTGCATGTGATACAGCAGTGGAATTGAAGCGAACCGCCAACAAGGCAGCAGAGCAGGGGAACAACGATATGTTCATTTAAGGAATGAGTTGCTTTGGTGCGCATCCATTGCGTGGGCATGTCCTCATAGCATAGGTACTGGCCCAACACTTGCATAAAATTGGAATCTGACATGAACGTTACATATTTAAATCCTTATTCACACGACAATGTGAACATCATCATAATATACCCATCCTCTCGACTTTCAACACAACATTTGCAACATATACAATAATCCGCCCCACAGAATGTTGCCAAAAAACACATATATACTAAATATATACATATACACCTAGAGCCCGTTTGACCTCTGTTGTCAAAAGAAAGGATTATATTTCGGGTGGTTCAAAACAGAGGTCACCCAGGTTGTAGGTATACAGTATAACATACAATATACCCAATATATATATATATTATACGTATACTTAATAGACTTGCATATAGAATACATTTTTTAATAGCATAACATAGAACAACATATAACATATCAAACAATATAGAACGACAACAACATATATTAAAATATGTATATAAACAGTATATATGGGTGTATACAATACCACTAACTATAAGATGATCCTGCCACATAACGCTGGGCTCCCCAGGCGTCGTTCTCAAAGAGCCGGCGCCAAGCCACACCCGCCGAGCCGCCTGGAGGGGTCCGCCGGTTGTCATGGGTCGTCATGGGTCAGGGGTTGTGAGTTGTTATAGATGAGCACACGAAGAAAACCAAGACTTATTGGGTTTATTGGACATTTAATGTCAATGAATGGTTCTTAATGAAAAAAAGGGTTCCTAAATGGATTATGGATGGGTTCGTCCATCCATCGTATACCATGTAATTATATGTATTTATGTCCATGATCCATCTGTAACAACCCATGTTCATCAACCACAAATGGATGGATTTAACAAAAATACCAAACATATCCATGGTACAAGGGAACCTCAAGACACATCCATGGTATAGCCAGCAAAAGAACTCGCATAGACTCAATTTGAAGGCATTTCTGGGTCGCTGGATCGGCTTCCTTAAAACTTTTGTTGATAAGCTACTGATCCGTCCAACAGCTTTAAGACGGTGCAATATTCTTTAAAACAAACAATCCAACATAGTCCACCCACGTGGCCCACCAGCCCCTACGCACGTTGCGTGGCCCCGATGCGTCCGTAGACGCGCATTGCCATATTATGCGAAGCTGAGGGGCCACCCAGCTCTCGCAGGCTCAGGAGGAACTTCCCCGCCTCGTTCGAGGCACCGCCGATCAACGCGGGAACTGCCGCACGAACGGGTTCGCCCAGGAGAAAGGACTGAGTTGCCCAGGGGGATGTTA